GAGCAGCAGGTCCTGATAGGCTAACCCCTGAGATTTTTAAGCATGGTGGTCCAGTTTTAACAGCTAGATTGACTGAGATAGTAGGTAGAATCTGGGAACTGGACGTAATCCCATCTGACTGGTCGCAATCCCTGATTGTCCCAATTTATAAGAAAGGACAAAAGTCTTCTTGTGACAATCACAGGGGAATAAGTCTAACTAATATGGTTTCTAAATTGTTAGCCTCGATTATCCTTAGACGCCTATGTAGAGCTCGTGAAGAGTAGACTAGAGAAAACCAATCTGGTTTCAGACCTGGACGTGTCTGCATAGACCACATTCTTACACTACGACAGGTCCTGGAAAAAAGTGTTGTAACGCTCGCTTGAATAATTCCCGGCTTATTCCTATTGCTTAGTATTCTCTGACCACAATACACTGGACAAGTTCCCACGAATCAAAAACACTGTGGAACAGGAAAAGATTGTTTTCCAAATAGCAAGGTTAATAAAAATAAGAAGCCGAGTGCGAAGGCAAAAATAGATACAACGTTAGTTTACTTTATAGCATTTACATGAGAAGCTACTGGATAGAAATTCACCTGATCGACTGGATTAGATTTAGCCAATCAGCATGCAGCTAACAACACGAGTATCGATCAGGCGCTGATTGGATAGGAAATTAGCCAATCACCGCGCAGCAACGTAGTCATGCTTTAATTCCATCTATGTCCCACTAACACAAAAAAAAGTTCAGACGTTCCACAACAGTAGTATTGCTCAACCTTGATGCGGCATTTGACTCTGTTGATTGTGAGGTTCTCTGTCATTGTCTGTAATTTAAAAGTGTACCAAAGAAGTACATTAATCTTATACAAGCTCTCTACTCTACTGGTCGGGTGGGAGCCTATTCTCTACCTCAAGTGGTGTCCGTCAAGGATGTCAACTTTCTCCATTTTTGTTTAAAGTTGTCATAGACATGTTGCTAGATGTAACCTCATCCTCGTCCGACTTTTCAGGAGTCGACTTTCTTCCAGGAAAATTGCTTACTGACCTAGAATATGCCCATGACATAGTTCTAATTGGTGTAGACGCTGATAAAATGCAGAGTCTTCTGACTACCCTAAGCAACAATGCAAGCATGTTTCGGGATGCGGTTCTCACCCTCCAAATGCGAAATCTTGCTTCAAGATTGGGTTGCATCGGTACCTGAACTAGTGATCGGGAGTGAAGTAGTTGAACGTGTAGACCGCTTCACCTATCTGGGGAGTTTCATCAGTGCTGATGGGCTGGTGACTGACGAAATCTCAGCACGGATACAGATAGCTCTATTGGCTTTTGTCAACCCGCTTCACCTATGGTGCGGACGAGATATCCGTTCAATAACCAAAGGACGAGTGTACTGTGCAGTAGTTCGCTCTGTCCTACTGTATGGATGCGAGACTTGGGCGTTAAGATTAGATGTTCGTAGGTTACTTGTATTCGATCATAGGTGTTTAAGAAGCGTTGCTCGTATACCGTGGGACAACCGATTAAGCAATGCTGTCGTTAGGAAACGGGTGCTAGGTAAGGATGACAGATCAATAGATGAAGTAATGAAACTTCATCAGTTGAAATGGTTGGGACATGTGTTGCTTATGGCTCACCACCGACTGCCTCGACGAGCTATGTTTTGTGGTGTAGGAGTAGGTTGGAAGAAATTTAGGGGCGGCCAAACCAAAACATGGCAGAAATCCATGAAGTCACTGACAAGTGGACTGAGTCATGTTGGTAGATGTAGGCTACCTAGTTGGGGTCCGCGGGACGATAGTCATCGATGGTTAGAGACCTTGAACGACATGGCTCAGAATCGTTTGCGATGGCGCAGGTGCATCCTTTCTTTGTATTCTATGAAATTATAAGCTTCTGCATCCCTCGTTATCTCTATCTTTCTCCTTCTAAATTTATCTTACTGAATTATACTTCTCGAATGATATCTTCGCTCCCTAAGCTTCTCCATTACCAGTGATACCTCTATTATCACTCTTGGATTTGAACTGACAGTTGCGTCTCTGTGCTGATGGGGCATGGCAACCTGAACTGATGTACTTATGTACGAAGTTCTGCGTTGTATCGGTCTGTCTTTCTGACTTCTCCACTGTGAATTGTGTGTTGTCGTTAGAGTTGTTAATCTGTTTTGCAGCTCATCTCTTTCAACGATACTAATTTCATCTACATGAAAACTCACATTTTTGGCTTGATCATTGGTAGAAGCAAGCCTTCCAGTCCACGTATCACTGCTTCTGCAGTAATTATTGACTGTTTTGAGTTCCTGATATTCCTCATTTGTAAGAATTTTCATCTTGTTTCCTCCTCAAATCTTCAGATTTTCTGTATCAATTAAGCTTTCTTAATATCAGTCAGTCAGTCAGTTGCAACGTAGAACTTCGTACAATGTCGCCATCTTTGTGAAGCGTTTATATATATTAATTGGTTTTCTTCACATTAGCGCTTTTTTGAAAGGAATCCCGATCAGTTGTTGAAATTAGGATTTCTGAACACAGTTCCTTATAAAATCAACAGTGCCGTCTGGCTCCCGAAATCAAGCATCGGAAATACTTAATTTTGTCCCATCTGTTCTTAGTTCAATCCATGATCTAATAACTATCGAATGTATGTCCACTGTTGCTGAATAAAGCCGATTATGAACGAAATTAGATGCTAGTTCTATGTAATTTTTTATGAACAAAACAGTCTGCAATCAGTCAGTCCGCAATGTCAGTTGTTTGTTGAACATTATGTCGGTCAGTAAATATGCTTGAATAAGGCCGGTTAATCTTCACGTATGAGTGTCCGTTCATATAATATGCTTCAATTTGCTCGATACAAAGCGTAATCGAATACTACCGTGTTGTAAGGCAAGGTCTTACAAATACAAGTCAGCTTCAGAATGAACACAAAACAAACACATGTGGATATCGTCTCAACAAATACATATACAGTATTCGCCTTCCACATCAATAAATATTTACCATGCAAATTAGAATTTCACTTTCAGAATTACACGAAGTTCATTGAAGAAAATTGTTGTCTTGCAAATGCGTCAAAATAGGTGCTGACATCGTTTGACAATATCATCTGATATGCTTCAGAATGTTAAAGCATAGACTTCGAGATGCAAAGTACGTTGGATCATGGGATTCGTCAAAACACATCACACTCACACTGAAATACAGTCATCTACATACTGGATTTACAATTGTATAACGTACAAGCGAAAAGACACTGACTTCAGTTCACCAACGTTGATGTGGGAAATTTAAATGTCACGCTAAGTGGAAGTTCAAAACTGTCATGTTGCACGATATTCATACTGAACTGGTCACGAATTCACTTCAAGCTTGATGAAATTATCAAGTATTATCCAATCACATCAATTATCTGCACAATGCCATTCGCGATGAATATAATTAGTGTGATGTCTTTACATATTTAGCATAAAACACAATTGTAAGTGAGAGTTCATAACCATTTATAGCTGTATTTCTAGCGCTGTTTTTAAAGAATGTTCAAAGTTCTACACAGTTAATGAATTGTAAGTCAATATCTGCAGGGAACTGGACACTCAGTTTATTCATATTCACTTACTGTTTTATTGGAAAATATCACAAACGTTTAGTGTAGGAAAGTTTGTGCTGCCTGTCAAGTTTAATTTACTAATCGCTTACTTACTTACAGCCAGTAATATAACCTCGGTGGTTGCAATCACATGACCACGCTTGTTAAATAGATAAGCGAGAGTAGGGAAAGTGAAGTGTGAATATGTCCCTATGTTCTAAGGCCTGCCATATTCTGAACATGTGGTCTATGCATCCATCTCCCGGTCTAAAACCTGTGTAATTTTCACGAGCTAGCACTTCACAACCTATAGTTAGGTGTCTAAGTATTATCGAGGATAACATTTTAGACACAAAATTAGTTGAACTGATCCTTCTGTGATTGTTTCAAAACTATAATGTTGGACGGAACGAACTGCTGTGTAGTGAACTTTTAGTCTCATCATGTGGTGGTGTTTCATTCTCTGAGCTGGTTATTTTGGTTCTGGAGCTTCCATTGTTCTTGTGAACAACATCATCAGCACAAACGTCAGACATAATTGAAGCATTCGAATTTCTCCACGTTCGACCTTAGGCTTGTTCTGCTCACCTCGATTTCGATTGGTTGCTGTTGACCTTTGAACTGTCGTTGTTTGCAACTTCGTTTTGATTGCATCCCCCTTTTGATCTGTTCCTTGATCCTGTGTTACCTATGATTTTCCTGATTGGTTGATCAATTGGGTCAATGTCGATGTGTTTATTGATTGCTGATTGACCTGAGCGCCAAGCTTGTAAAAATTCTCTAGTGCTCCTTGTCCTTCCCTTACCTAGTATTTCCACATTGTTCCAATCAAATGTGTGTCCATAATTGTTGGTGTTTATTGATGTAAGCGAAGCGTTATCGTGGCGTCTGACTGCTAACTGATGTTCACATAAACGGAGCTGAAGAGGTCGTCCAGTTTGTCCTTTGTAGTGTTTTTCAAAGTTTGAGCAATTTATTTTGAAGATGACATTTGGTTCTTCTTCCTTTGTCATTTTGTCCTTTGGTCTACATAGGATTGATTGAAGTGATTCTGTTGGTTTATTAGCCACACCTATTCCAAATGGTTTCAGTAGTCGTGTTGTAGGCTCCCATATGTCTTGTTCTCCGACTAAGGTAAACTCTTAATAGTTCAAGTCAATCAAAGGACATGTTTACTTGTATGCGTAACAATCCCATCCCACTGAATTATTGGTCAAATTATTCTCACTTTCGGTAAACATTTGTATGCTCTTTTCCAGTATCATTCGTCTGAAGTATATGATGTACTGTATTCTATTGTACTGATTTTCTCTGCATTTTGAGTCAATTCAACTGAGTCATATAAACTAATTTTGTATTGTATTGATAAGAAACAATGAACTAATTCCAATTTTATTTAAGATACAAATTTGTATCATTCATTAGCTACGAAATGGTGTTTGTTTTCATATAATTACTGTCTCCTTTCAGTCTATTCGCACGCTTTTTTATTCTCTCACGTGTTTCTTCTTCCTAAAAAGATGTGAATGAAATGGAATAGAGAGAAAATGAGATTCATTATAGCAAACTGTTGAGCAATATTCACTATCCCTTTTACAGTTATTGAGTTTAATTGAATTGATTCTCAATTACAAATGAAAAAAGTGAGATAGATATCAACACTGGTGTACGAGATATAAGTGTGTTTAATTTGAATGTTGATTACGAAAAGATTTTGATGTGGAAATGAGACTGTTGATAATAACCTGAGAATAGTAATCGATCAAAACTGTGTAGGTTCAGTTAGTATGCTTTGAACGGTTGTTGCATTCGCACATTTGAGAAGCAGAGCTTAATACAAGGGAACTTAAATTTAAACAAACTGATTAAAATTTAACCACTCACCGGACATATATCTTTAGAAACCGGACATTCTAACCGATAAATTCTGTTCGGGACTTCGTATATCGAAATATCACCACCGTTTTCAGGGCACTTACGCCATTTATCGTTAAACATCACTTCAACCTGAGAGCGGAGATTGCATTTCACCTTGAAATTCCAAAGAAATCGACATTATCTACTGAATTAGTAGTGAGTTGTACAAATGAATTACAAGGAATATCTAGAAATGCCAACTTAACAAATGATCCTGATTGTATTATTTTACAAAGTTAGTATAAGACGTACATTCATAGTACTTTACATTCAAAATCAAATCTTCACGATCTGCCATCGTCGAACTAATATTACAGTCGTCCAGTGTGGTTTATTACAAGGTGTTATGAGGACAAATCATTGAACTGTTACATTCACATTCAGCTGTCAACCATAATCTTCTTCAATGCATTCGAGAATGTAAGGCAGAGAAACGAAAGGATATGTCGAAAAAACACTAGCTGAATTTCTGCTTCCCCCCCCCTCCAATGTGGCAATACTGGATTTCGTATACCCCTCTCACCATTTCTGATCGTGTTATTTATATATATATATATATATTATATATATAAATATTTATATATATACCCATGTAGAAAAAACTTACTTTATAACAACCAGCGGATACGTGACTTCCAATGCTATTTCTATGTACTATTCTGATATTGAAACATCGTGACTGCTTCCCGTAATACTCCGGTATACTGTCCATATCTACAATGTATATTAACAATCAAAACTGATTCTCCTTCTCAAGTTAGAAGACTGCATACGTCAGAGGAGAAACAGAACACCCTCCACATTTGCCACGTAAGTTAGGATTTATAGTGACAAATTCATTCACCAAAGTTATATGAATCTCTTACTCATTGAATTTCAGAAAGAATTATCAGTTTCACCACGGTGATTGGCTGTCAGTCAGCCACTGCAACATTTCTATTTCTCCATCCAGTTTCTTTGCATGACGAATACATAAGTGAAATGTCTCACGTTATTTGGTTCGAAATTCTGAACACTGACTAGTAGTCGGTTTTCATTTGTTCTTGAATCGATTTGTTATGAATTTTTTCAGGATAATCTCATTTTCATTGCTTCAAAATGTATTCATCAATAACATTAGGTATCACAATGATTTGCTGTATATTTCTCTTAGAAATGACTTTATTCAATCTATATACACGTTGTTGTCTAAACATGGCGTTCAACAGTATATATCTCCACCCCACAGCAATAGGTGATGTGGTCATATTTCAATGGTAGTGGTTGTAAGCAGGTGAGAATCGTGCAGTTACAGAGTATTTTGCAACAATGGAAACTCACGTTGGTATTTTTGGTTATCGGTATCTTCACAGTGAGAATTCAACGATGTATTTTTCAAACTTGTAAAAACCTGAAGGAAACAAGTATGAAAATAAATAGTCAGTATATGGTGTAATTTGGATTGCATAGAATGTTATCTGTTGTCGACTAAATGTAATCATTCGTGCATTGAAACTGGAGTAATTTTTATACAAATGTAAGCTGAATCATTTAAATCAATAATTATCCAAAAGGATACTTACTGCCATATATGGACAGTGATCTGCCAAGTCGTCCACTCCTGCCAACATGTTTTGTTCCGACTGTGACACGTCAGGCACGTTATTGAAGTGTGTATGTTCTGGTTTTAAAGATGAACTGAACTTCATCAAATTGCATGCTCCGTAAGCGTTCACGTGAGGAATGCATCGAACGGCTAACGCTAGTTCATCACACCAAGGTGATGACTTTTGTCCTCTGCAAGTAAACACAAATCATTTATCATTGCATTTCAACGATCGGTGTAAAAGTGTGTACCATCTATCTGTCTAACGCACTCATGTATCTCGTTGTAACTGGTTATTAACATATGTTATACCAACTAATATGATTTAGTCAGTAATGATAAGATACCCCGTAATCTTTAATGGAAACTGTCCAAGCGTCATGTAAAATCTTTCAAAATATTGACGGTTGCTTTTGAAACCACTTTATAATCGTGTGAAATAAGCTGATCGCTCGAGAACCCGATTTCAACGACAAACACGGTGAATGCCCACTATCGCTATTTACACAGCACTATATGTAGTATTGTGATGAAATATCACAAACTTCGAACAAGACTGTTCTGAATTCAGGTTGTATACTCATATGATGCAATCTATACAGAGTAGAACATGTCGTGTCATATACCCGTTTCATAATCAATATCGCAAAGCCCTGGTGTACGCTAAACTGCGCTTTCCTCACTGCGATTGTAGGCAGTTAGACTTAGTCATTCTTGTACAGAAATCAATGTTATGAAGATAAGCACACCAAATTCAACTAATGTTGAAAATAATTAGTCCGATTATAAACGGAAATTCTTTGAAGTTAAAGAATATCTAAACGTATTCATCACTGACCTCGATTTTCGTGATGCTGTGTGCTGTTGGAAATGAACATTTAACGAAGCAGTTGTAGTCTGTGTTTACTTCTCTGTATTTGAACTGATACCAGTTTGCGAGGTGTTCAGTCTCATTCTTAGAACTTCTGTCTCATTGTCGTATTTCCCGAGCTCTCTGTATTTCTTAAGTGTCATGACAAATAATCCAATTTTAAAGTTGTTTGTGGTCAGTCACATCACAAAATAAACTGCATATGTTGAAAATAACTAGCTTGTTTACACATAGTGATTGTGTCGAATTATTGTTTAGTTGAACATCTTCATCACCGCCTTTTTATACCAAACAATGTCTTCAGAATTTTATTTACGACGAATTAGATGAGATCTGTGTTTACAACTCGTTGTTCAATAGAGGACAGAGGAGTGAACGGGTGTTTTTTTACCCACCTCGAAAATCTCTAAATATTATTCGCTGAAACTGACAACCTAAATATAAATGTGTTTGGTTCACATCAGTGCAACGATGCAGCATTAGGGATTTATTGATAATAAACTACAACAGACTAGAAATCTATGCTTATAAGTCAACAGTTGATTCACTAAAAGTGACGATATTTGGAATGCCTAGTGTACTAAATGTTGTCGGTCAAAATTTGCTTTACCCGTGAGAAAAGTAAGTTTATTTTATCGGTTTTCACCTTGATTTTTGTGTTTTGATAAATTCACCACAACTTTGATGAATGAAATCGCAGCCTTGATCACGACCCCACTCCCATCGTTCAGCCATGGAAAAATTCACATTGTACCATCTAAAATATCACAAGTAAACGAATATTATCAGCATCATTTCATTGAGGATTTTCTGATAATCTGAAATATTTATCGATTGGAATGCTCGCAGTCGATGTCAACATTAGGTCATCATTACTTGTTCAGTCTAAAATTCTGAAATTACGCACATCGATAAAGCAGACTAAACTAGTATGGTATTCAGATCAATCGATTTATCAAACATGGGAGTTACATAAAGAATAGTTACATTCATCATTCTTTGCGCTGATAGTCTACGTGATCTATTATAATAATACGTACGCTGAAACAACATTCAACTCCACTAGTTCTAAATCACTCACAACATCACACGATACTACTCAGTAGACTTGTTGTTTAAATTTACGAAAACCAACCGGTGCATCAGTTAATGGGATTGGGACACTTTCCAAATGTAGATTACTAACAACTCATATATCTTCGATAACGGGTTTCCTTATTTGAGGTGCTCGAAAGGACGAATCAAAATGTTTATCTGGAATCCTATAAAACAATGCAGAATTAGTTCTTTGCAAGAATACAATATGTTGCAGTAAACGATCTAATGTGATTTGATGTATGAAAAGAAAATGATATGTTCACTTTTCATAGAAATGCACAACTACTGAACTTTAAAATGGCTGTTATTTATTTCCACAACTAATTGTAGTTATGTCATAACTAACCAATCAAATTGCGGTGTAAACGCTCACCACATGATCGAATCTGACGTGTCTGTAAACTTTCTTTGTTGTAAATGGCCTGATAATCGAATGACATTATTATCTTATAATATTGATGTGACTCATAACTTTATTCGTTCCCATAAGACAAGCTATATTGGTCGGTAGGTTCACTAGGTCTACTTGATAACTATAATTTCCTTATTTATTGTACTAATCTAATTGTTTTTATGTTTAGAAACAGACAAAGTTTAAATTGAATTGGTCTTGTTCTGACTATAGCTTTCCCATAGACTCTTTTCTCGACAATATTGTATTTACCGTTTTAGAATTACATCTGTAGGACAAATTAAATCCTACAATGCCACTATCTGAATCTTAGTAGAAAATGAAACGAAACCTTAACAAGAACACAGTTTTGAAATTTACCCAGTATCATTGAAGTAACCGAGAGTTAAGCCAGATACAGAAGCCATGATATCGATATAACCAGACATTATTTCACCCTGAAAATCAAACTCCAGCATTAATATTAAAGTGATTATTTGTGAAAATATTTACACAGTCGTTAAACTAATTGTACACTTACAATGGACAGACGGCGTTCGAAATGTGAATGAGGAGTTCCACCACCACCATCCGATTCTAGATCAACACCATCAAGATCATTACACCCAAAATGGCGTCTGGCAAAGCTCTGTTAGAAAGAAAGGGAAAAGAAGGACGAGATCGTGAAGATTCTTTGATGTTTCTTGAACATTCATACAAGGTCTATATTCATGGACAAAATAACTACTATCTGTTGGACTAAATTTGAAGAGACATATAATTTTGTGTTGAAACGCAAATCGTTGTTCAATAGATTTATACTGATGACTATTACTCTGAGGTGTGCATTGTTTTTAAGTTAATAACATACCCACGCATCAATGGATGCATCGGTTGAGATGCAGATGTAACTTCTCAGTCTCCTGTCATGTTCATTCACACTAGACCCATTTCATTCTATATGTTCCTTAAAATAATTAGCTTCTCTAAATAAACTCCCATTACACTGAAAATAATGCATCATTTGTTTTGGTCAGAAACGCAAAACGGCAATAATCTGTTGCATCACTTATCAGGACAGAATGACTTACGACTACACTTGGCAATGTTAGAGAGATTCTCTGCAAACTTTTCACGCCTGATATTGTTTTCCAGTCCCTCTGCACGTACTTCACGGTATTCCTGAAAACAACGTTTTCATAAGTAAATTGTCATTATGATGTTTGAAGTGTATTTTGAAAATTCGGTCATTTTATCCGATACTTGAACGGTCTTCAGCAGATAGTGTGTAATGCTGCCGATCTACAATCCATCAGTCTCGATATGAAATTCTCAAATAAAATTTTCGAAATTCAGTTGGTGTGTGGATTTTAGTACAGAGGTTTCCCAACGAGAATAATCTCAGAACAGAGTTGGAAATTAAGGGAGAGTTTATTTTCTACGATTCGTTTTTCACCATTCATAAAGGAGTAAACTCGTTGCCGTGGATTACCAGATGGTTCAGGTACTGATTGTATTAGCAAATTCATAACAGTAATTTGTACTGGTATACCGACCTACTCCACATAAGAAACTCCCAACTTATGCGGCTATAGATGATACGAGGAAACTGCAAGATTTTCGAAGATTAAGTAAAAATGATTTCACAATAATAAAAGTGAAACAGCAGTGTTTATTATGTTATAAATTTGACAGTGTTGTGTTGACGAAAGACATTGGAATAGAGAATTAGGTAGCATTTGATATGAGACCTACTTATCAGCTTCTAGGCCTTCATTATCTTTCGGTAATTCTGGTTCACCAGTTTGTGGATTACGCGTTGTCCTAGGTTGACCGTTCTCATCACGTAGGTAAGAGAACACCGAATAATCAAAGCCCTGTAAGATGTAAAGTTGATATTTTGTCAAACACGTGTGTTATTTTGTAAATAATTCTGAGGAAGGGAACTACTGGTGTCAATTTATGCCATGAAAATAAGCTGAAGATTAAGCGTCTGCTATATGTTTTGTTACTTCTTATTTATTCCTCAGCAATACATATTGCAAAGGGGAAATAACTTAGCTGAGTAGTAGAAGAGCTTACAGAAAGTAAATTACCAATCCACGTAGAATACTACGGATTGCGATTGTAATTAGATAGGGCGCCTCACACCATCTAGATAACTGACGCTGTGTGAACCGATGTGAATAATTCACACAGTTTACGAAAACCGATCATCTAAGTGTGATCGAGAACATCAATATTTTCCAGGAACATCGGTGATGTTATTGCAAGTGAACTTTATTCCAGTTATGCTATACAAATTATTCAAGCAAAATCATATACAGTTTTATAAATAAACTGTTGCTGATAATCTTGACATAAACCTGATTGCCCTCTTTGCGTTCTCATTTGAAGTATACTAATATCATTTCCTCTATTTCCATCTCTATTCCTATTCCCTTTTATTTCTGTTGATTGAACACATAATGAATGAATTAGTTTTTGAGGACACTTCGAGAAACGGTTATAATGGTTGCTATTCTGAATGGAAATTCACTTTTGAGCAAATAATTCAATATAACCACTGCATTGTGCACACACCGTGACAGAGAATTCTACAATCAGTGCAATAGAAATAATAGTGAAAAAATGAATAAAACATGTAATTCATGGATGTTTCACTCACAAACGTGTGTCCCAATTCATGCATAATTATTCGTTTTAAGTGATTTGGATTGCTTTCGAGATATTGCATGGCCGAGCAAATTAAAATTGTACCTGCGATTGGTCTTGATTGTGGAAAGGATGATACGAGTGCAAATATTAAGCACGAAATAAATTGAAGAAGAAGCAATGTCAATAGACTAATCAATGACATGCACTTAGCGTAACTATTTACTTACCTATCAGTATCTGAATCCTGCTCACATATGGCAGCTGCAGCGAACGCTGAAGTCGAGTTGCATTCGTCATTTGAATAGATAAAAAGAAGAAAGTCAGTTTTGACTGAGCCCCGGACTGTGACATTTTTTACAACAACATTTTCATGTGTCCGACATTCCTGTGTAAGTGAAACAGAAGAATGATTTACAATAGATTTTCAGGGAGCAAGACACATGAAAAAGCTACTGGAGAAGCCTTGTGCCACCCTCGCTGTCACGAAGTGATCCGATGGCTGTCATCATGTCCATATAAAGTAGTGTGATGTTGAAAATCAGTGTTTGTTTTTGAAAGTATGTCTCTCCTAGTACACGAATACTGAGTAATATACCAAGTATTTCACAATACATGTCGAAACTTCTGTTCAACAAACTGCTTCACTAACATCATGTTCAATTAATCTCATCACTGAACTCCACTTATGTAACCTACTGACCACTAGAATACCGTCGTATGTTCAGCGCGTCTAAGTCAGTAAAACTGAGCAATAGAAGCAGTGAGACTAAGTAACAATGTCACATGACAGCCACAGAGTTCAAATATAAATCATTGTCACTCAACCGCGTTCAATATTAAGTACAAATAACTTCTGCCTGACTAACCAAACGGTGTCTTACGAAATATCTGCATTCCGTTCTCAATGTGAAATCATGAATGCTTTTATTCATATGATTCAAGAGTTTGGAACGGATCACTAACGACATTAAAGAAGATGTGCTATGTTGAGTGGACGACATCTAATTTTCGTTCAAAAAATTTCACGAAAATTCAAACATTACAATTAGTCAACTGACCTGAAGATACTTCTCTGGAATTTCAAATTCTGCACACTTTGTTACGTTAGCACAACCACCTTCACAGTAATGAAAACGAGGCGACATCTGTGTTCGAACTCTGTTGTTACATTCACTAATACATTTGAAAGGACAATAAACAGTAGTAAAATATATATAACAGAACACTCTGAATGTAAATCGTCATGTGGGAAACAATCAAAAAGTAGTTCAACATAAATCGAGATCTTGTGTCCTAGTGTTGATCGCTGATTATTTTCGCGAAACGCGTTCAATTTCTCAAACCTGATAATTCGAACAGCAGCAGTTATGATGAGCTACAGACTGAATCATCAAATACTGATGGTGTATGTCAGGGCTGTTATGCATTCCCGCCTATAAATTCCACTTTCTTCATTAGTGTTTCCGCCGACTGAATACTACACCGAAGAAGTATTTGTTCACCTCAGGTACAGTGATAACGAACAACTCTAACAAAACAAAAAAACACCCGATTATATTTATCACGTCTGAAATAAATCTAAGCATGGGCTTTAATCGCATGAATGGAAGTTGTTACTGATATATTTCATTACTTATTCTACATTATGACTGCTGGTATTCAGTGAACCACTTGACAGGATGGACGAATAGAAATTATGTTGGAAAATCTTTCGCACTATGTGTATGGATATTTTAGAATGTCTCACTACGGATAATTGAGTTGTTCCACTATTTGATACACTGTAAGTGAACTGTTCGAAACTTTGCACTGAATTGCTTCAAAGTGGTTGAAAGATCTTCTCAGTTTTATAAGTTTCTGTGACATTGACGCCTTGCCGTTAGATTGTTTTCTCAGTTTGGTATGATAATAACCATATGCGACTAGACATTGTTCATCTTACAGTAAGCGTTATAACAGTTTCAAAAAAGTGTTACGAAACGTCAATCTTATTTTTCTCCTAATCACAAACGCACAAACAATGTATCAAGATGAGAGAGATTGTCAAAATAATTGTAGGATATGTTTCACTCTTCCACAACAGCTTTTGTCACAAATGTTAGTAACTATAGTATGAGGACAAACAAAGATCTAGTGGTTTACTTCGTGAACAAACATCACCTCGATTGCCAGTCATCTAATATCAATATTGAATATGTAGTAGGATAAATTAACTGAAATAATCAATCACTTTTTATGACTGTCAGTAAACCTACCGTTCGATTAAAATCTGTTTGGTAGATCTTATCTTCGGTTGCAATGTCCTTGTCCAGAATGTCACAGCATCTTTCACCTGTTTCTGTAATTCACAAACACAGTGTCCCAATCAAACAGAACATGAATAAATCGTTTGATTTCGAATATTGTGAAATATTTAGAAATTGTTAGTTCTAGTGAATTGTTCAATATTGTGAACCGATGAATAATACGAGAGAGTAATGAGTGATGGAGTTTGTTGTTTCGCAAGTGCCTAATTGCACTCATTTATATTTGAGTTGTTTTTGTCGGAAGGAAGTTGAGTGATGTAACTAGTGATATGAACGAGACACACATTGTTTGCTGAAGACAACAAAATTCTTGCAGGATACCGTAAGGTTTCTGGGATATCAAAATATAGTGCTGTACCGAAATTCGTTTCACCTCTAATTGTGCATTTCACTTGAGTCTTTTGTTCCAGCGAAATGATCATATCTGTCTGAAAAGCTGATTACAGTTAGCTACAAAATACCCATTTTCAAGTAGTTTGCGATTCTTTGGTATGAAATATGATCTCCTCTCTGTCGGAAGTTTATCATACCAGTATATTGGTGTGCATTCTCGAATCATAGTCGAAATGCTTATAAAGATAATCTTCCATGCTACATTGTGAACTGCTCTGTTCATTGTAGCGATTGTTATCTTATTTCAAACCAGCCTCATGTCTTTGATTGAAAGTGCACTTTTCAATGAATCTGAAGACAGTCACTGAAGTGTATGATACTAGAGGTATTTCGGATGGCTAGTGTTTTTTTACAACAGTGGAATAACACTACCATGAACAATATGATGATATATTGTGGAATTCAGTCATCGCCATATATTTCCGTATATGCACATAAGTGAAAGGGACTATGAAAATATATGCATAAAAGACAATTTAAAGACACATTGGGAAGAGTGTTTCGTTTCAAAAATTCAAACTGTTAAAACATGCTAACCTTGAATTCATCGAACAATAAAAGATTTTCTAAATCTTCACTCAAAACCACTTGAACTCGGAATTTTTCACCAACAATAAATTCACCTTTCCTTTGTGCAGAATTTTTATTACTCTTATCGTTGATCTTTAAAGAATTGTAAAATTAATTAGTGAATACAATATCAAGTTACTGAAGATTGTTGTACAGTCACATTTTCGACCAATCTCTTATTGAATATACTCAAATACAAAATAACAAACAGTAGTGACATTTTTACAAATAAGCACAACACAAACAGAATCAAATGATCTGTTGAGAAGAATACATTTTCTGAGCGATTTATATAGAATTTACAGATGATGCAGTTAGTAGAATGAGAAGTTTTTAATCATACCACAGGTTTATATGTCAGTACATAACTCTATTCTAATCCAAGTGCTTAGCTTCATTTACAACAAATTAGATTTCTTTGAATACTCTCCATTATAAAAACATGTCTTTTTCACCAATACAAAATCAAAACGTAGTCATCATCATTAACGAATGAGATTGAAATGAAGATTATCAACATCGTTTCTGATGAATAAATCAGCTAATCATGTGATTGTAATGATAATGATTCACGTTCAATGAAAATTCTACGGAAACTCTGTTGGAAACAGTATATTTTCGGAGCTGGTCTAAGAGATTTCTGAAGATACAAAACGCAAGGCTCCTGCAACTTGTAATTAGTGAATCAGTTTAAAATATAGGGGCAAGCAAAAGTCAGATTATCATGGTTTCCACTGTATTTCTGTGCATTTACAGCATAAAAGATTAGTTAGCTATTGAGTTCCGTATACCATATTTCTCCGAAAAATACGTTTACTTCATGAAATAGTCAACGCATCATCTTCAATTGAAATTTCGGAAGTAGAACTGACACAGGAAAAGTGGAATCTCAGGTATTTCCGAAGCAAACACACGTAGATGTATTTCTCAAATGCAGTAGCAACAATCAGTGAACCCAAAAAATCAACTCCATACAAACTTTGTTCAAGAGAACAAAGACACACTGCAGCGCAGAAGCAGCACTAAAAAACGGGTCCGGACATCTTCTGACAGTCTTCCAAAAGACCCAATTTTCAACAAAGCATAAGTCACAGGTGACATGGAATCAGGAAGCAGATCTAAGGGGAAATACAATCAAAACAATGGTGCAAAAGCGATACTTTTATGGTCAGTAACAACCAATCAAGATCGAGGTTAGGAGAGAAAGCTACGGGTCGAACGAATTCTCAATCCATTTGAACAATAGATTTTCATGAAACAATGATCTGATGACTAAAGAATTTTCCAGCAAACATATCATTTGTTGTCAGTGTAAACTAATGTTAATATGAAAGTAAATAGAACGTAGTGTCCTTACTCCATAAAAACGTATGCACCAGAAAATATAGAACATCAAAAGTTATTAGCACTATATGTAGCACTATGTAACTAATGTAAAAGTATATGAACTATTGTCTAGGATGGAATGTTTCTCAGTTCTATTGCAATTGTCATACGTTTTAATGGAGTAAGGACACTTAGTTCTATTTACTTTCATATTAACATTAGTTTACACTGACAACAAATGATATGTTTGCTGGAAAATTCTTCAGCCATCAGATCATCGTTCAGGAGAATCTATCATATCAATGTAATGATCATTGAAATTGTCAACTTGATATTGAGTACACATTAATCAAACTTTTATAAACGTATGTGCTTGATTAGATCTCAAGCACTGATGAATTTTCAAATAGTTTTCTACAATTCATTTTGAAGTTGACACATCAAGTATACCATGAAACAAACGTATTTTCCTGAAAAACATTGAATGCAGTATTGTCAAGATTCACCAGTAAAATTTAAAAGCTGAATTTTCCAATACTATATGTTCATCGATTGTTTGATATGGGAACATTACAATCAAACGCTTTGGATTTATATTTGTGATATTTCAGCGAGTCGAAAATAGGATTTTTGAAGTTTCCCAACTTGTCTTTATACTGTTTCTCAAACTTCTTCTTATCTTATTCTTCATTAGATATAATTGGATGAAAGTTGTTTATTTTACATAAAGCTTTACTCCGGTGCATTTATTGATCCGTTGCAGTTCTTCAGTTGTACCAAATAAGTATGGTAGGATAACAGTATCAGTGAATGTTATTTCATTGAATTTATGATAATTGGACACAGAAGCATTTTGTTACAGTATTTTCTGAAACAACATTCATGGGAAAGTTATGAAAATATGCACGACCAATTATACTTTACCGTTATTTTTATTTCACAATCCTATTCCATGGAAAACAAACTTGCTAATTAAATGATAACCAGAAAACCTCATTCTGATAATTCAAAATCTGCCCTTGAAGTGGAAGCATCTTCCTATAGAAGAATTTCGACAGCTTATGTTATAAGATGAGATTCTTTATACACACCTAGTCTTATGCAGACGCATTACACTATTATTAGTAGCAAGACACATTTACAACTGTGTGTTGTTGAAACGAAGGGAAGTATCATTAGAGGTCTAACTTCACTCTGTAAGGGTTGATCGTGCACTGTCGGAATCGCAACACTACAACCAGTTAGAAGGAACTTATCAGTAAACATGCACTCACTTGACTGTAGAAGTATTGGACAACATTTATAGGATCACACTATGTAAGGTTCGTCAGATTCATGATGAACGTCATAAGACAGTCAGCATCACAAGGAATTCCTATGATGGACTGAACTGCAAGATCGTTCATGGAAGGTGACTGATACATTTGGAAGGTCTGTAAACATTTACACACCTGAGCAGCATCATTGTGAAACAAGGTTTACATTTTAGTGCATCCACGTATATTCGAGTTCCATTACATTTAATTTGGTTAAACCATCTCGATTAATTTATTCAACCAAGACATTCGTAAAACAATAACTTATATATACCATTGGCTTTTATTTTTGTGTGGTTTGTATGAGCTGGTGTGACTGAGCATTGTTTAATGCCTGCGCGTATATGCATCCTATTCGCTTTAATATCGATCTCATAAATATCACGATGAATCAGACATTTTCCTATGTGTATATACGAACATTTTAATCTTATTAACACATTCGCACATTCACTCGCTAGTGTGCCTGCCCGGTCTGCTTGTGGTCTGCTATCCTAAATGTGGTGTGCTACTTCTGTGGTTCATGTTTCCAAAACTATGCTGAGGTCGCTATTCTGTCGAGACACCTGCAACATTCTTACTCAGGCGCTTACAGTATGACTTAGAGGTTGGCATTCAATAATAAAGAAAAAAAACAGTTAGACTGTGCGAGATTTTATTCGTCAAATATTTATTTTTACAAACTCTACTCTTTTAACTAGAATTTCCATTTCAACGTACATAAATCCAGCTTCTTACTTCGACTTCTCTTCTATCCACCTGACACTGCACAACTCTCCCTTCTTTTTGCTGTACTCCTTTATCTGTGTGTTATATTCTTATATTCCCATAATTTACTTTAATTTAAGTGGTCAGTATGAATGTTATCTTGACTTACTACTGTATTGACTACTTTAACATGACAGGTTAAGTAGTGCTTTGGTTATATATATACACTTGCCACACTGCTGCCTTTTCCTCTCTCTCTTCGCCTTTTCAGAACCCCATTCACGGTGGGAAATCCTTGGCAACTCTAGGGAACATGCACCCAATGTACATGACTGTCTGGATCACAGCTCGTATCAAGCGCGTTCCATATGACCTTTCCCAACAAATTCACTATTGATCTCGGCCAATCGCCAATAGAACCTATTGTGCACCTTCCTCATTTGTACTCTAATATTGAAAATGTGGTTGTATAATACTGTTTCTGTCAGTGACATGGTGTAAATGTGCTATCAGAAACTGACTCTTACACTTCATTTAACTGCTTTACCTTTTACATTATATGAGAAAGCATTCGTGACAACCTAATCTAGCCCGTAAACTGGCGTGACCCTTGTAACGTAGTTATTTGAGAGTAAATTATTAAATTATTATTATTATCACGATGAATCAGACATTTTCCTATGTGAATATACGAACATTTTAATCTTATTAACACATTCGCACATTCACTCGCTAGTGTGCCTGCCCGGTCTGCTTGTGGTCTGCTATCCTAAATGTGGTGTGCCAAAATAAACGTATTCAACACTTAGAGTTTACCTTCTGATTTATAAACCGTCAGACGCTATTTAGTAACGATTGTCTGGACGAGCTGATTACGAAGACAAAAAACACGTAGAAACTAGCCACCACAAATCTGGTGAGCCCATCGTTCATTCATATCAATCTACATTTGCTTCGTCGACTCAATCGCTACGTTCGCCGTTTCGTCTTCACAGATGGTGAGTAAACGCTTACCACAAATCTGGTAAGCCCGACGTTCTCAGGACGTTTCCTGATACTGACGAAAAATCAAAGGCTTCCATATAATAGGTAATTTCAACGTAGAATCGAAAGCAATCACCGGTTAGTAATCCTGAAAGCGAATCGAACACGTCCCCAATATTACTGTCAATGACTTTTTCCATACGAATTACTATTGTGGATTATATTACCACTGTGTGGATTATTATCATTATCATATTCTTATTGCATGACAATTATTTCATAAACATCATTTGACACATTTTGATAATATTAACGATCACGAATCACACCACTATATATAAAACTGTTTTACTGCTGCACTTTAGTAAGTCTGTTCCGTGTTATAACCTTCCATTAATTGTTGTAAACATTATTATCGTCTTTCTAATTTCCTCCCCTTATATTTCTTAGTTTATTTGCGTACTATTTATTGTACATTAAAATGTCTTCAGTTAACGAAACAAGTCTGCCACAAGTGACGTCCGTGAGGTCCTTTAATATTATCATTCCTCCGTTTAGTGTAACCGACCCACATCTTTGGTTTACTAGACATTTACTTTTTGGCCATTCGCATCCATTCACAACGAGACAAATTCGGCTATGCATGCTCACTGCTTCCAGACGTAGTAGCTGATAAGATACGAGAAGTTCTAGCTAAACTCGATGCCGAAATGTCATATGACGTATTAAAACAAGCCGTAATAAAATATTTCTTGTTAACCGACAAACGATCTCTCGAGCAGCTTCTCAACGAAGTGCGAATAGGTGACTGGACTGCATCACAACTGAAGAATTACATGAGAAGAATCATAGGTGACAGAAAGATAGACATTAGCATATTTTACCA